GCTTCAAGCGCGAGATGCCGGCTCGTTTTCGAATGAGCGATCTCGGTGCACTCTCCTACTACCTCGGCATCGAGGTGAGACAGGGGAAGGAGGAACTCACGCTTGGTTAGAGCGCGTATTCCTCCAAGCTGTTGGAGAGGAGCGGCATGGCTGAGTGCAAGCCATGCGTGACTCCGATGGAGGAGTGGCCGAAGCTGATGAAGGCCAGCACCACGACGAAGGTGGATGCAACACTCTACCGGAGCATCGTCGGTGGTCTGCGCTACCTAGTCCACACAAGGCCGGACATTACGTTCGCCGTGGGCTACGTCAGTCGCTTCATGGAGGATCCTAGAGAGGATCACTGAGCTGTGGTGAAGCGGCTACTGCGCTACGTCAAGGGGACGGTGGATCATGGGATCATCTTCCCAAAGACCAGCGGGAGTAGGCTACAGCTCACCATGTTCAGCGATGCAGACATGGCGGGGGACATCGACGGACGACGGAGCACCTCTGGCGGCTCCAATTTCATGGCTGTCGCTGAAACAGAAGGTGGTGGCGCTATCTACGTGCGAGGCAGAGTACGTAGCGGCGGCCACAGCGGCGTGCCAAGTTGTGTGGCTGCGCCAATTGCTGGGCGAGCTGACCGGCGTGGAAGCTCACCCACCAGCACTGATGGTGGACAACCAGCCCGCCATCGCCCTTACGAAGAATTCGGTTCTGCATGACCAGAGCAAACACATCGACGTGAAGTTCCACTTTCTCAGGGACTGCGTCGATGGAGGGCAGATCATCATCGAGTTCGTCGAAACTGGTCGGCAACTCGCAGACGTCCTCACCAAGCCGCTCGGACATCTTCGACTCACGGAGCTAATGGAGATGATTGGCGTGAAGGGGGTACAAGAGTTAGCAGTAGGATTAGGTGAAGATTATTAGATAATCTACTGCTACCTTGTGTGAACACAGTAAGGGAATGCGGTGCCGAAAGGCCCCCTACTGTGATACTATAGCCGCTGCAGGTGCAGACACCGCACGACTCACCTGCAGCACTGTAGCCACATGTAGAGGCCGGCGCAGAGTCAGCCCTATATGTTATCTAGTCACTGTTGTAGCGGGGCAGCTGTGCTGGGACTAGATGGATAGAGTTGTATAAATAGACTACCATGGCAACTCAGTAAAGAGAGTTTAGATTTGTCATCTCCCATACAGGGCTTCGGCCAACGCTGGTGTCTTGTACTGTGTGTGTGCTCTATTCTCCCTTCTTCTTCTAGCTCTAGCCATAGTGCGTGGGGATGGACAACGCTTGTTCGTGGTCGGCACGGCTAGTGGGTGCTCGGCAACACTAGCGAGTGCTCGGCAAGACTGGTGAATGGTTCACTCACCTGAGCCAGAGATCCCGTGGGCCAACACTCTTTTGGGCAGGCAAACGCAAATTGACCCCTCTGGTGCCTTGTCCTTGGATTGGTGGCGATCTGTTGATAATGAGGAACCTCGTCCTCATGCTAGGATCATGTCTAGCTGCTGCATCAATTGGCTGACGATGTCGTGATTTCCTCCATCGCAGCAGATTAGGAACATGGCTCTTGATACCAGATGTAACAGTTTGTATCTTGAGAGATGGATTAGATGGTAGATTTGGGGAATTGGGGGTGGATTAGATGAGGGGAACAGCTACCTAGGGCTCGCCATACCTCAGAGAGAGACGAACACGGGGGGGGGGTGGAGCAGCTACTTGGGCGCAGGGAGGGTGGCATGGCCGCTGCTGGCTCAAGTGTGGAGAGACTATAGAGCGTTAGGGTTTTACCCCTACACTATTCTTACTTAATTCCAATAGTTACATCTCCCTTTATATTATGATAAGGACCCTACACTATTCTTACTTAATTCCAATAGTTACATCTCCCTTTTATATTATGATAAGGACCCAACCTGACTCAACTTGACTCTATCTTCTAGACTCTTCCCAAACATAAACCTAGACGGACTCCTGGTAGTGCTACAGTATGTGTGTTATGTGTTGTAACTGTATCCGTGGCTAAGTGCTATGACTGCTTCTTGCCATTGCATGCTGGCATGCGCCTCTAGACCCTTTCAAGTGTTTCCCAGCCGTGAAAGTATTTACTATTCTTAGATAAGGACGTAGTCGAGTGGTGTGAGTTAGTGATGAGGGAAATAAGAATCTGTAATGTCCGTGAAAGAAAGTTAAGCAAAGCAACAGTTCAGTATTGTTGCTAGGCTTCTCCCCTGCGTCCCTCTCCTCTCCCTCATGCATGCCCTCACAGCACCCACTCGATGCCGGGGGTTCAGGCCCCGGCCACCGGTCTCCTACCCCTACGCCCTCCACAGTCATTGTAGGATCATCGATTCTACCAATCTGGTATCAGTGATGCCAGGTTCCGATGCCGGTGCTAACAAATCCGTCGCGCCGCCTGTGCCACCGGCCCTCCGCTTCATCGCCCGATCCCCTAGTCAAGGTTGTTGCGGATTTGACGTGCACCGTTGTCGGCATTTCTATGCGCCTAGTGGCCATCGAAGCCCAGCCATTGCCGTCGCCTGCTGCCACTATGCCACCTGAATTTCCCTATGGGATGCCGGCCTATGGCACGGCCATATTCTCCATGCCGGCCGTTTTAGCGACCATCGCTCCCACCACCACCTTATCTTCCTCCTCTGCTCCCCTTCCCATCCACCAAATTCACATGCCCCACTCCCCATCCCTAATCCCTCCATGGCCATGCTCTCAGCGGGTGCCCGTGCGTTTGCGGGAGCCACCACCCCTGCCTTCACCGACGGCACCACGTCTGCTTCGACAGCCAACGGCGGTGCAGCCTTCAACCACTACGGCACGCTGCCTGTTCACGGCACCGACGGCCAGTTCCCGTATAGCATCCACCCACAGTTCCCCTTCAGCGTGCCCCATACGGTGCCGTTTCCACCCGTGGGCGGCACTTCTCCATTCCTCGGTGGTCCGGAGGCGCCCGCTCCCAACGCCGGCTCGGGCCTGGGTCCCCCATGACTCTACAAGCTGGAATTCTCTACCTATGATGGCTTCGAGGATCCGCTGAACTGGATCAATCGCTGCGAGCAGTTTTTTCGGGGCTAGAGCACCTTGGCTTCGGATCGTGTCTAGCTCGCCCCCTATCACCTGCTCGGTGCGGCTCAGACCTAGTAATATGTGCTAGAGTAGGACGAAGGGATGCCTAGCTAGGACCATTTCAAGGAACTCTGCAACCAGCGCTTCGGGTCAGCCATCCGTGGCAGCCGGCCGTCTGAACTCGGCCGGCTGCCCTTCCTCTACACTGTCTAGGAGTACTCCGAGCGCTTCAACGCACTCCTATGCCACACACGCAACCTCTCCCCGGTCCAAAAAGCAGAGCTGTTCGTGGGAGGCCTTCCCGAGCACATCCACGTCGACGTCGAACTTCGGGAGCCGCATGATCTCTAGATGGCGATGCACCTCGCACGGGCGTATGAGCGCCATGCCGAGGCCATGCTCCTGGTGCCCATCCAGCACATTGCCCAAGCACCTCAGTGGCCGGCACCGGCGCTTCTGGAGCCACAACGACCAGCCGCGGGCGCCCAAGCCATGCCCGACGTGGTGTCGGCTCTGCCCGCCCCACCGCCGATCCCTGCCCTACCGGCGCCACCCCAGGCCTTTCGTCGCCTTTCTCCGGCTGAGATGGCCGAGTGCCATCGCAAGGGCTCTGTTACAACTATGATGAGCCGTATGTGCGTGGCCACAAGTGCCAGCGCCTATTCTTCCTGCAGGCCTCAGACTACATCGACGATGACGTAGTTGAGAACGTGACTACTGTGCTGGCAGCCGGGGAACGTCGCCAACCATCCCGCCATGTCCCTCCACGCGATCGGCGGCATCCGCACGGAGGACACCATGCATCTCTACGTCCACGTCCACGGCCACCGCCTCGTCGCGCTGCTTGACTTCGGCTCCACACACAACTTCATCAACACCGGGGTCCTGCGCCACCTCCAGTTCGTTACTTTGGCCGATGCCAACAAGCGGGTCACTGTGGCCAATGGTGACTGCATCGCCTGTTGGGGGGTGGCTCGCAACGTCACCATGAGCATCAATCGTGCTGATTTCTCCATCAGCTGCTATGGCATCGATTTGGGTGGCTTCGCCTTCGACCTCGTCCTCGGCGTTGACTTCCTATGGACTTTGGGCCCCATACTGTGGGACTTCAAGGACCACTGTCTAGCATTCTGGCGAGACAACCACCACATCTTTGGGAAGGGGGTGGCTAACCTTGTGACAACGTCCAGCAACCGTCTGTCTGCACCATCGTCGGGGCACCCGACTGGACCACCTCCTACAGCAATACACTGCGGTGTTCGCGGAGCCCCGCAGTCTTCCACCGGAGGACTACCCCGACGTCCAGCTCGAGGACGAGCTGTCTACGGAGGACGGAAGAGATGTTATGTGCTGTGACTGTGTCCGTGGCTAAGTGCTGTGACTGCTTCCTGGCCATTGCATGTTGGCATGCGCCTCTAGACCCTTTCAAGTATTTCCCAGTCGTGAAAGTATTTACTATTCTTAGATAAGGACTTAGTTGAGTGGTGTGAGTTAGTGATGGGGGAAATAAGAACCTGTAACGTCCGTGAAAGAAAGTTAAGCAAAGCAACAATTCAGTATTGTTGCTGGGCTTCTCCCCTGCGTCCCTCTCCTCTCCCTCACGCACGCCCTCACGGCACCCACTCGATGCCGAGGGTTCAGGCCCTGGCCACCCGTCTCCTACCCCTACGCCCTCCGCAGTCGTTGTAGGATCATCGATTCTACCAACGTGCGCTACAGTACCCTTGGTTGCTGTTCATGCCAACCCAGGCTAGGCCATCTTGAGCCCAACACCTTAAGGGCTCGTTTAGACCCATAACAGGTTAACTGTATAATCAGGATCATCAATATGCAACACTAGTTAGTAGGTCTAGGTCACAAAAAGTGAGTTGATACTACTAAAATAAATTGCAACATAACTCCTATAGTATATGATGCAAGAACTTACCATCGTATAAAGAGTCAATGCATGAGCATAATTACTTTTACCGATTGCGGCATCCCCTTGTGCTTCAAAATCAGATCCATCATTTTCATCCTAAATAACATGTGCAAATGAAGTAAAATAAAAGCATATACATTTTTATAACAAGGGTATGAGATCAATTTCAGCAATCTGTATAAAAGCTAACAACACCAGCACATCTTCCACATTAAGTACAATAGTAAATGTTCATACCTGTGGTTTTGAACTCATAAGTTTTGAATGTTCAATTATTCCAGTAGTGCTCCAATCAGCAACCTTAACCAAAGGGGTTGTGAAAGGGAAAAGAACATCAACACATTCCTTCCATCTTTGGGTTGCAGCAAATTATATTGGCACTCTACCATTCTGTTAAGAGGAAAATCAAGGATAAATTTTAAAAATAAACTTGGAAGAGCTTAGGGAATAAAAAGGCTAGGTATTTTGTTGCACAATAAGCTTAGAAATGAATGTTAGTAATAAACTAATAATAGATGATTGACCAAGGCATGTATTAATCACATTAGCATGTAATAGGGCATTGTACTAATTCACATTATCCCATGGACATGCAGTGAGCAGATGCATTAACGTTGAGACTAGGCTTCCAGAGTTCTTCTTTCCTGCGGCAAGGAGGTATCCTGCCTATATTTTTTTTCATTGAACACGCACGAGAGCTGCATATCATTGCATTAAGAGGGAAAACAATACTTGTATATGCGCATATGCGAGACACCAATTTTAGCACCAGTAAGATTTGGTATTCATGTTTTCGGAGAGTGATAAATATTTTACAACTTCAAAGCAATGCAAATTCACTAAACTGCTCCGAGTTATGAACAAACACCCAACATTTCAACCTTGCGTCATGTCACCTAACCTCATGAGCATCAAATGTAACTATTTTATTGGAATAAGGAATCTAGAGAAGTTCACATTCGATCTCCTAACTTATGCGCTTCTTTTATCAACAAATGGATCTTACAGTGTATCATAAACTATCCAAACACCTTATAGTGTTGCAGCAAGTCATTCATTCATTCTATAATATTCCTAGAAGATTGATTTTGATAATACAATAGAGAAATAACCCAGATTATTTTGCAAGTATAATAGAGACAGCCCAGAAACTCAACAAGAGACATAATGAACAAGTAGCAGGACAAGCTCACCTGATCAGGTATATTCGCATCAGCACCAGCTTTCAACAAACATTTGATGCAATCAGTTGAGCCAGCATATGCAGCTGCTATTAGTGGGGTTACAGTACCAGCATTGACATCAGCACGAGCCTGAAACATGGAATATGTAATATACAATCTTGAACATAGATTTTATTAAACAAGACAACTTGTCGTCATCTTAGAATTTATAGGAATGAAAAAAGTCAAATTTGCCACTTCCCTTGTTACTCCGCCAGGAGCCAATATCAGATCTAACATGACAGGTTTTGCGCCTTCCAGTCAGGAGAAAAAAGAAACAGAAACAAAAACAAAAAAAGTAGCTGCACCTTAGTAGGTAGTTCCATGCCTTCCAATGAACATGCAGAGATTGCTTTCAGAGCTGTACACACTACTCTATTGGGCTGGAGAGAAGACAACGAACGCATTAATTCTAGAACAATGACATAAAGGGTACTGGAGAAAAAAGTCTAGCAGTGAATTTGAAGTATTAGCCTAACAAGCATAAAAATTAAAAGCAACTGACCACAGTACCAATTTTCTACATACCATATAAGCATGCAGATGGAGAAGAAACTGCAATGCCCTATAATAATTTTTCTTTCCATTGTATCATTACCCCCAACATATTTTTAGGTAATATTCAGCTTTCATCAGCATAGCACCGATCCAATGAACAATCAAAACAGAACAGTAATAAATCAAGGAAATAAGATTATAAAGTATTATTATTCTCAAAGATGCTACATCTTACTAGGCTTGCTTTATATCAATAGAGTAAAACTTGGATAGCTAAAAAACAGTTATGCTAAAACTCAATTATGAGTTCTGTGAAAAATAATTCCCCTCAGTTCTATACTGAACTAAAAAGAATACCAACCTATAGTTAAAAATCAGCAACAGATGAATAATCTTTTCACTAAATTATACACTAACTGAGAAACAATTTGAGTTTATATATCATTAATATTAAAAAAACGTAAACCATGATATACAAACAACCAGGAGAATGGACATGCAAAAGAAAAATGATTTACCATATTATCATCTGGCACACAGTCATTAAGAAATTAACACGTTTCAAACCAGGAAAGAGCCAAAGATCAGTGAATGTAAGTGTCATATGTCCATGCAAGCCATGAAAGGCTGCATCCAGCAATGACTAAATTTGTTTGGTTAGTGCTATTTGTTTAGATGCACTCTTAGTCCTTCAAATAAGATAATATTAGATCTGCATGTATTCTTTAGTTGAGGTTGTTAGAGCCTGTCTCTGTAGAAAGGAAAGGCAAACCATTGAGATCGATTAAGCAAAGATTAAACTAGGAACTATCCCCTCATGTATCTCCAGCTGAGTTCTTTTCCATCCTCCTCTGTCCTCTTGCTGCTCCCTGAACAGTCTACTTTACTCTCCAATTCCTACCCTAGCTACCTTTACCCTAAATATCAGTCCATGAGAAAAGAAGAAAACAAAGTAAAGAGTAGATATGAGTCAGTCAACAAAACAAGAGACCCATCTAAACCCAGTAAAGAAAGTAAAAAAAATGTATTCAAGCTTACCAATTCTAGATCAAGTATATAGAGCTGGAAGCGGCAGGAAAAATAATGACGAAGAAAACACAAATGTATCTAGGCCCAAATGAATTTGTCCTGCTAGAACCTTTTCCCATCATAGTTGAGTTTTGCACTCAAATAATACACATATTGATATAAAAACAAACTTAAGACTTACATCTGCCTGATGCCGCAACAATAACTTCAGCATTTTAGCACTTCCATTCTTGGCAGCAATGTACAGTGGAGTTCCACATTCTGATACAGGATCAACATAAGCTCGTCTAGACAATAGTAACTCTGCAATTTCGTAGGCATCTGGATTAAATCAAGAAATTGCTGACATTAAATTATAATTCAAGTCATATTAAATTATATATGTATTTCATAATTAAAGTGCCAGCCATAGCAAACAGCTAAATAGAACTTCTAAAACTATAACTACATAGCATTTCTTTAAACTGTATAAGCAGATGTAGGAGTAAATGATAAAGACATATGAAGATGGTTTCGGCAAAACTCTAAAAAAATGGGAAATTTACTACGAAGTGGTTCATACTTTATAACTGTTAACTACTAAGGACTGTGTCTCCTACTAGGCTGGCCATGTTCCAAAATTTAGGTAATGCCAGGTCGTGGCAATCAAAACAGACAAGTTCGTTATTTTGAGGCGTAACACAATCTTCCTCAGGATTGCTCATGGCACTTGCTCAAAGAAAAATCAGATAAGTTTTATGCAACTTTTATTTTTACCATTATACTGTTATATGAATGAACCCACTGTCTGAAAAGTGTTCATAATAATTTATTGACTAACCCGGATACAAGCCAAAGAATTGGACCCTGTTAAATACAAAACCACAATGTACATCCAAGAGACAATAACAAACAAAAGAGCCAAATTTTTCCTTGCATAAGACAAAAAAAAATTGGAATGCAAGGGTACAGAGAACCTCGAGTTGTTGCTAGATGGAGCGGTGTACACCCATCAAAGGCTGCTTTGTTCGGATCAGCATGATGATCAAGAAGCAGCCTTGTAACGGCTGCAGATGCAGTACCAAGTATTGCAAGACTGAGAGGTGTCACACCTGGAAAGGGCATAGGAAATGGTTAAATGGCATCAGTTCCTTCGAATGATCAACGCTTCTTGCCTGTGACCAAGCAGTATTATGTGTGCCACATTACCACATTTACAGCTCCCCTACACAGGTTGTGTCACCATAGCCATCTCACAATTTTTTCTCCTAGACGAATAGCTAAAAAAACGGCTTAAAATACCACAATGATGTGGCATTCCGCAACACCAACAAAACTTCTGTTCCACAAATCAAAGCAAAGACTTCCCAGAAAAGGAAAACAAATTTACCATCGTAGCCAACCGCGTCGACATCAAGCTTGAGATCCTTGATGAGCAACTTGCACACAGCCGTCTTCCCCGACAATGCTGCCATGTGCAGCGGTCCTTGACCCTTGTACCACGAGGCCCTGATCTCCGTCATCGCCTCCTCCACGCTCTTCCCCGCCTTCCTCAACCGCTTCACCAGCGCTGCACGTTACCAATAACCAAAACCCGATTACCCTGACGCGCTGCACAATGAAAATCCACACCTCTACAAGAATTGAACAACCGGGAGGTTGCCACGGCGTGGCGATTGGCGAATACTCACTCTTTAATTGGGGGACGTCGCCCTCATAAGAGGCGCGAAGGAGCAGCGCCGCCACGTCGGCCATGGGGAGGATGGACCTAGGGTTACGGAGCATGAGCAGGGGTTCACGGAGGTGCAGCGGATACGAGGGCGGCAGGACGCCGGAGGAGGGTGGGGAGGAGGCCATGGTGGAGATCTCGAGCGCAAGCCCCCGAGGAGGTTCTGGAAGGCTCGAGAAGGTTAGAATAGCAGGTAGACGGATGTCGGATGGTGGAGACTGGAGAGGCCAGGGACCGGGGAGGAACGGGAAAGGGCGGGAAGCTAGAATTCTTTTCATGTTAACAAAAAAATATTACTCTCGCTTTGATTTTTTTTCTTTTTACATCGATTTCGTCATGTATCCAAACCTACTTATCTCTATCTCTATCTATCTAGGACTAAAAAAGCGTCAAAAGTCTTGGTCAACAGCAAGAAAGGCACCTATGAGCCCCTTCCTCTCCAGCGCTTTCTTTTGCACCGACGGGTGGGCCCATCTAGCTCCAACACGCCTCCTCCCTCAAAGACCGGTTGCGGCAGTGTCAAGTTATAACCCTAGGGTGTCTCAATGCACCGATTAGTTAGCAGGCCATGTGGCCCAATACACCAGCTAGCGGAAGCTCCAACGATCGAGGCTCAGCTGAGCCAAGCAAACCAGGTCGAACGCTAAGACCGGGGTTAGCCGCGACCCCTTCCTCCCACCTTAGCCGCTCGGCGCCCCGAGGACACACGACCTGTCCTCCGTCACGACCCCTGAAAGGACGGGGAGAGGTCAAGCCCCGCCAAGTATGCATGTTCTGACAAGGATAGGCACGCCACACTGACCTTGAAAGGGCCGAGGGGACAGCAGTCACCTCGGTCTGGTCAGACGCCAACCCTGTGCCACGCCGCACAAACAAGACAATACTGCCCAAAGCGGTGACGACGGGCATGATGACCACCGGCCATATACGGCCTGACAAGATGCATATATGACCCCACCCACTACGGGATGGGATCCACGATGAAGGCATTGACTTGAAGGCCATCCAAACCGGCGGGGAACCACGACCCCAGCGATCGGGATCGTGGCCCTCAGCTCCTCAAGACAACTAGGCAATTGATGACCTAGGGGAGGCTACCAACTCCCGTACGACGCCCTAGGAAACCAGGAGACGATGACGAAGACCACGGCGGAGACCACGTCGCACAGGACGGTTGGCGCACCACCACCGTGCCTAAAGTGCCACCACGATCGGTGGAGAAAGCACCACGCCACACCATGCTGCGATGTGACCACAAGACGATGACGACAACCACAAGATGGCGTAGCTTGCAAGCCAAGTTAGCTAGGCCCTCCCTCAGGCTCATGACCCTTTGGTCGGGAGAACCTCTCCTTTGTATGTGCCCTAGCCTCAAACACTATATAAGGGCAGCCAGGGCACCCTTTCCAAGGATTTTGAGTCCCCTACTCATTCACTCACTCTCCATTGTAGCAGGGCTCCTGAAACTTTACTTTGGGCTATCTATCTCCTAGCTTTAGCTCTTCTTCCTCTTCCACCATTCTTGTACCCCCCCCCATTGTAAGAACTTTAGAGCATTCAAGCGAGGAACACGCACTCGATCATCTCTGAGACTAGACATAGGGCTCTGGCCTGAACCAGTATAAATCCTCGTGTCTTTTGGATGCTACCATCGTCTTTCTAGAGCAGCACGACAATCGTATAAGTTTACTAATCTGGTTTACGAAACACCGATAGTTGGCGCGCCAGGTAGGGGACAGTCACGCACTCTTGTTTATTGAGAAGGAAGCGATGGCTCCTCACACCGCCGGTGGACTCGCTCGTGGAATGGCCCACGGCGGCCACATCTGCCACAAAAATTACGAGTTCATCGGCGCCAAAGGGCCAACACCCACGTCCGCCTTCGGGCACGGCCTAGACCTCCACCCTGGAGATATAGATCCCGCGGTCCACGACGGGCACACTCTCGTAACTGCCCTTGGGGGCTGCTTCCCAGAGTTCACCTACCCAGAGGGGCCAGTACCCTCACTCATCACCGGCCATGATCAGGTCTCCCGTCCAAGAAACCAAAGGTCCACGGCTCGTAATGAGCTCACTCGGGGAATGGCCTCGACCGGCCACATCCTTTTGGGAAAGCACACAGTTAACCACACCAAAAGGGTTAGCGCCCGCCTTCAGTTGCGGCCCGAACCTCCGCCCTGGAGGTTTGGATCCCATGATCTGTGGCAGACACACTCCTAGAACTACCCTCAAGGTTGCATCCCAGAGTTCACCTATGTAGGGGGCCTAATACCCTCGCCCATCACTGGCCAAGGCCAAGACTTTCGCCCAGGAAGCCAGAGGCCTATGGCTCATGGCGAGCTCGCCCGAGGAATGTCCCATAGCAGCCACATCCTTCTAGGGAGTCACGGGATCACTTGAATCAATGGATCAACGCTCGTCACTGGCTGCTACCCAGTCCAGACTCGTCGCGTGGGAAAACAAGACCCTACGATAGAGCCACGCCCCGGGCAGCGTCACCGCTGTCGGCAAAACGCAACGATCTAGGGCGCTGTTGACGGTAGTTAACAACCATTATAAACTGTTAATATAACATGTATAATGGCATAAATATAATCACCAATGAAGGTTTTGGGGTTTAAACTAACAAATTCCATGAGTTTTGGTGAATCTGTATTTTCTGCATGGTTTATTCAGAAAACCATCAAGGTGGACCTACATGTTAGATTTAATTACGCTTATCCATAGCAAAATGGACACTAGAAGACTCGGGAGGACTCGACACCGAAGCGGAGGGTGAGACGCCGCCAGGTAGGGCCGACTGGCCCCACCTGTAAGCCGCCCGGACCCTGGGGCCCACCTGTCAGCCCCTCGTTGAAATGTCGGTTCTCCACCGCCTCCTAGGTTGCATCTACGTTGTCCTTTAAGTCAGTTTGATCAAGGTCTCACGTTGGACGCTCTGGCCTATATATATCAGCCCCTGCCCCCCTGAAGCATAAGTCATTTGAGAAGATAGAAACCCTAATCATCCTTAGAGCTCCACCATATTCTAGGGCATAGCTAGTTAGGCTATGTCTAGAGGGAGGCAAGCAGGCTTCGCTTGGATTCCCGATCTTATCAAGAGCATGGTTCGGTATAATCTTTGTACCCTCTCTCTTTTGTACCTCCATTATTTTTATATGCTAGTTACAATTGTTATGACAATATTAGTATTCATCTTATTCATGTTCTTTGTTATAATATTCATCGTCTACTTTGGTTATATGCTTAGTATAGCTAGTTTATCATTTATCCATCCATAAGTTCGTATAGCACTCGCTCCACTGTGCACGGGGTGAGTGGTCGACATTGTGTAAGCGTGGTGCTTATACATTGTTTACCTGTAGATACACCCTATATTCTAGGTCATGTGGTAGATCGCGGATGTGACAGTCTCGTTGACTCCTTTGTAGTCCACTCCCCAAATATAGGCGCACATAGGGTTCGGTTACGAAGGAAGAGCAAGCTCTGTTCTTAATCTTTCTTAGTAATATCCCTTATGTGTAGATATGAGGATGATCTTAGCAATGGCTACTAGGTATAATTGTAATAATCAATGTATGCTTTGACTTGTAATTAAGAATAACTTAGGAATTATTCCTCTAATATTCTACCTAGCCATGCTAATGCCATAGAAAGGAGTACTCTGAGTGATTTATCATTATTATTGATCAATACTTACCATATATACATCTTATCCTATGACTTGCCCCTGTTATGAGTAGAACATTGGTTATGGTTTATTTCTCCTTCAATAGTATAATTTATCAATACATGTCCATGCTAAACCTTCCCTGTGGTAAAAATATAAATAACGATACCTGGACCACTCTCAGGTAAAGTGTTACAATGGTATATTATTTGTGCGCTTGCAGATTCTTTTTAATCATATATTTATATATTCTTTCTAGTCACATAAAATAATAAAGAACTACTTAGTATTATTCTAGTAGTAACGCTGTGTAGTACCAACAAGCATCTCTGACATCATCATTAGGGATGATAACCTAGTAAAGTAATGTTAAGAGATATAGGTTTATAATATGTGGCTACTTAAAATAAGTGACACATTGATAAATACCAACAGGCGCACATGGACGACGGAACTACCAACCACGCAGCGTCATCGCCGGTGGCCCGACGGTGGGGCGACACCACGCCGCATAGGGCAGAACCTAAAATCGGGATCCACCCCTGCATGATGAGCAAGCCAAACAACAAGTCCGCGTGAACTGTCAGCTATCACTTGGAGGCGCATGCATCCGAGGAGGAGGGCCCCCTGAAAGTGGCATGCGCCGCGCCGAGCGAACCGAACCGCATTGTTCTTAGAACCCACTTCCCCAGCGACAGGTTGCGCTAGCTCTTCGTCGAGAGCAGCAACCGCACCCAGAGATGGGGACGTGACGATCACGACATCGTCGTGCCACGAGGGTGAAACACCAGAACACACGGGCCCTCCTGGCTAGAAGCTACAATAGGCTAGGCACAAAAAGGATGTCGAGCCGGCAAGAGTCGACCCAAAGCCAGTTGAGAGGTCAATCTACGCTAGCTACGACCGTTCCAAACACTAAAGAAGCACCCTCATCAGCTAGTGGCCCGAAGATCGCAGCGACTTCATCGCGACTGGACATTCGGGGGCTCGCCGCGCCCCGAGCAATGGCAATCGGTCCCACTACAGCTTCTGGTACATCGGTCAGTCACATCCACTTTGACCTTAGCCTCTCTACCTAAGCACATCCACATACACATATAAGCCCACCAACATTTGTGGAAACTTAGGGCCGACCCATAGAGCAAACTAGATAGCATGAAACCGACACATTGTATCCTAGTAACACTCAACTCCCGAGTGACTCGATCTGACTCGCGCTCATAGTCGGACGCGACTCACTCATGGGGGCTACACACATGGGCACACGCACATGACCCATGGCACAACACTGTCTGCCATCGCCCCGGCGACCGATCCACTTTCAACACCTTCCGATCGCCTCTCTGTAAGTGCAATCAAGTCCTATTGTGGGTTTTGGTGATAATGACCACACAATTAGAGGAATAATGAGATTTATCGAGTTGACAAGCAGGTAAAATGACAAGGAGGAATATACAT